GTTGGGACTTTACTTGTTCAAGGAGACACAATCAACACCACTGGGAGTGTCCCAGGGTGAGGGTGAGTGTCCAGTGTTGTGTTTGGGGGTAAAAGAAGGGCAAGGACAATGCACCAAGTCCCCCAGAGGCTCCAGGTTTGTCCCAGTACCCCTGTGGTCCTCAGAAGTTGTCTGCAGGAACTCACAACACAGCTGCAGGGTCCACTTCAGAGGGAACCAGCTACAATCCATCATCTGGAAGCTGCTGGAAGCTGGGAGCAAGGCCATGATCTAAGCCCACTGAGAAATGCCGCTGCGATGAACCAGTGCATTCCAGGACAGAGTCCTTCAGAACAGTGTAGGGGCTGAATTGTGTTCCCCTCGAAATTCATACACAAAAGTCCTAGTCTCCAGAACCTCAGAATGTGACCTTTGTGGATGTAATTAGTTAAGATGGGGTTGTACTGGAGTAGGGTGAGCACCCAGGAGAAGATGCCATTTGCATTGGGAGAGACCAGCCCTGTCCACACCTCGCTCCTGGGCTTCTGGCCTGCAGAGAGTCAGAGAACAAACATCTGCCGTCTGTGGTGTGTTGTCCTGGCAGGCCTAGGGGACTACTGCCCACAGAAAGGCTGAGGGGAGGGCTGGGTGTCAGGTGCAGGGAAGGTCGAGGACATGGGTTGGGAATATGAAATAAAGCCATGAGGCTGGGCCCACACCCACTCTGTGGAGGTGCCGCAGATCTGTTTCAGAGATGGGAGGCCTTGGTCTCCATGCAGATTCCAGGCCAGGCTGTTCTGGCAGCATCTCTGTCCTCAGGAGCATAAATGCTATAGGGGCCACAGGCAAGACCCTGGGACGCCCAGGCCTCACCCCATTCCCACTGGGGACGGCCACCTGCTGTAAACACCAGCAAGCAGCCCTGTCTGCAGGCCATCTCCCGAAGGGAGAAAGCAACAATCAAGTTGGTTAAGAATAAAGGTCAATTTGACATCCAGAGGAATATTAGGATTACAAAAAGATCTGAAAAATAAAAGGCTAAACACACCTGCGTAACAGACACATACCACACACACAGAAACACACAGGTACACACGGACACGCATACATACCACAGATACTCCCTCAATCTTCCCACACGCCACACAGACACACCGAATTGTACACACCCCCAACATACATACACAAAAAACACATATGACACCTTCCCACTCGCACATCCTGCATTGCACACAGATACACACATGGACATGCACACATGCCAAACACACAGATACACACACATAGACCCCCTCTCACATAACCCACCCCCACACCTACTCACGCAGCGACACACAACACATATCCGCTGCTGTCTCTGCGAGGGGTCTTCAGCTCCATATGCCTGCAAACGTACACACACCAGACACAGAGACACACATCAGGATACCTCATACCCCCAGCACACCACACACAGAACGTGCGCACACACACAGGCATACACAGACTCCCGACAAGACATTACAAAAAAATACAGGTCCCACTAGCCAACCGCGGACTGTGTGGGTTCCACGTCCTGGGACACAGAGGTACAAACTCTGAATTCAATGAACCCACCAGCACTTTAGGGGAAGCCCCAGCCCTAGACAAAAGAAGTATCCCATGGAAAACTATTATTTAGGGCTTATGAACAAAGTAGTGGGATGTCACTAAGAGAAAATGTCATAGAAAACATTAAGTGATGGATAGCTTATTAATTTTTAAGAGTATTCTAGAATGAACAAGTGCCTAAATGTTTTGATTACAGAAAAGACACCAATTAAAATGGCCATTTATTCACTGCCGGGCATTATTTTTCTTCTCATGAATCCCTTCAGCTTAAATCCTCCCATCTTGGGAGGTCTGCCTCATTTCCGAGGCGAGTGAAAACCACTCAGGTCTGTTGCTGTCTCTGCGAGGGGTCTTCAGCTCACATCTCTGTCGGGGTTTCCTTTCAGCTTGAGGCCGGCAGTTTAGGCAACAGGATTGGCACAGTGGAGCATCTTGTTTTTTTTCTTTCCCTCATAGCTGAGTGTTCACAGAACAAGATGAAGGTGAGGAGAGATGATGTCCCTCAGCTCTGGCCAGCGCCCAGAGTGACAAGACGCTGCTACTTGAGTCTGTCTGCCCCGGGCCGCTGGCCAGCACAGTAGTGCTCACTGTGATCCCTGGGACACATCCTGGCTCCAGAAGGTGTGCTTTACCAAGAAGAGCCACTGCTGTGGGTGTTACCTAGAACCCCTGGGTTCATTACGACACTGAAAAATCATTTCCTGTGCAGTTCGTGCGGTTGACTGCCTTCTCCCTTGACAAATACTTTCCTTCCTTGGACAACCTAGTTGGTAAGGATTCTAATTTAGCAAAATGATTTTCTTGGCAAGTGACAGTCCCTGAATTTCCTTACCTGTTCACTGCTCTCTGGGGCTGAGACCTTCCCCCAGCTGCTGTGTCGGGGAAGAAATGAAGTAAAGTGCGGTTACCACCACCTTGTCCACCAGCAGGGGGCGTTAACTGTGCTGGTTTCAACAGGCTTCCTCAGCCCCGGAGGGTTCCAGAAGTGCACGCTATCATTTGATATGATCTGTGGAGATCAATCAGTATCTGCACGGGCTCTTTAGCTTTATGAATGAGGGAGCAGTGTTTATGAACAATATATACTTTTCACTCATTGTTCCACAGTTTGGTGATAGTTACACAAAAATGACTCATTAAAAGACCTCCAGGATTGTGAAAGTTTAAAGTCTTATGACTCATGGCTTTGGTAAAATAATGCTTAGCTAAAAAAATAAAGGCATTCCTGGAACCGTCCCCAGCTGAATGGCATGCGAGCTCCCTTCCCACGAACAGAAAATATAGACCTTTTCTGGCAGGACAGGGCCCTCCCTGATGGACCTGTCACCTCTGTATGGCAGAAGCTCACAGGTGCCTCTAAGGAGCCTGTATACATCCGCCTTTTCAGGCCAGGGCAGGAGATTTAACATCTTAGAAAGACACTGTGCCTGTGACAATCCTGTTTGACACTATTCATTTGACTGTATGACCTATCATATCCTGGTAACTTCATGGAAATAACAAAGCTAATTTTAAATTTTTATTAAGAACCACAGTTTAAGAAAATGTCCCATGACAAAACGTAGCTGCTCAGACCTGAATGGGGAGCAGGACACATGGCCGCCTGGTGGCAGGAGCCTCAGGGAGGCTGGGAGGCCTGGAGACCAGCAGTTGCCTCTGCAAGGGGAAAGCTGGGTGGACCTGTGGTCGGCGGCTGATGTCAGTGTGAAGTCACTATCCGGCAAATGTAAGCAGGATGAGGAGTGCAGGGTAGGACGTGTCCAGATGGAAACCCACGTGCAATGATCTTCACCGTGGAACACACTGTTTTCTAGTGTAGAAACACTGCTCCCTGCTGGGGGACAAGGTAGTCAGGCCTCTGCAGACAATATGATGCCAGCCAGGGACATATGTGTGTCTGTCTGTTCCTTTGTTTCCTGCTAAAAAAGGGCAAGTAGGTAAAAGGCCCATGGCATGAACCCAGCCTCAGGGAAAAACTGGGCTGTACAGAGGGAAGGGCAATGCGTGTGCGGAGCCAGCCCAGGCTGGACACTCCAGAAGAGGCTACAGAGACCTTTATCCAACCTTCCAAACTGAATCCTTTTCACATTATAAATTCTTTAATTTAGATGCTTTTCCCTATTTGCTCTCCTTTGTGATCCAGGGAAAGGAATTATTTCTGCCTGTAGGACATGATTTTCACTAGACAAGACTTCCCTGTGCTGGTCACAGTATGGACTCTGCACACAGAAAGCTGATCTCCCAGGTGGGGGGCCCAAGAGATTGTCCAACAGCAGGGACACCTCTGCCTGGCTGAGGCCCCCTCCAGGGAGGCGAGACACTGGCCTCCCCCTTGCTCAGCACCATTCTGGGTGCCTGCGATGCCAACAGTGTGTGGGGAGTGCTGCTCAGAAGCGAGCAGATCACTCGCAAGGGAGCCCCACACACTGGGTGCATATGTGTGCCCTCTTTCCCGTGAGCTACATATGTGTGCCCTCTTTCCTCTTTGGCCTGAGTCAAAGACACACTCTGGGAATAAAAAGTGCCTTCCTGTACCGAGAATCCAGCCCTGCTGCCCCTCTCCAACACGGCCCGCACCTCACCGTGTCCCACACGCTCAGCCTTCCCTCTCATGCTTCCGCACCTGTCTGTGATCTGACCCCCAGTGATTTGGTCATTGACCTTTTTAATTTCAGGGACTCTATGTTAGTTTTGAGAATCTGCTCAGCATGTTCAACACTCAGGGTTCTTCTCTTTAATAAAATCATTGAACTGGCTGGAAGCAGGGGCTCACGCCTATAATCCTAGCACTCTGGGAGTCTGGGGCAGGCAGATTGCTTGAACTCAAGTTGGAGACCAGCCTGAGTAAAAGCAAGACCTCATCTCTATGAAAAATAGAAAAACTGAGGCAAGAGGATCTCTTGAGCCCAAGAGTTTGAGGTTGCTGTGAGCCACGCATATGACACCACAGCATTCTACCTAGGGCAACAGAGTGAGACTATAGCTCAGAAAAACAAAAATGATTAAACCACCAGCAGCATGATTCTAAAAAGCACAGATGACTTCTGCAGATTTCTTAGCATACTTTCTACAGGTAACTCCTGTCTTCCATGGCTGAGCAAAGGTACCGGCATGTCCCCTTCCCCATGCCTCACTCCCACCCTCCTATTAGGAGGCCTCCTCTGCTGCCCGTGGCTACATACACATTTTCTTAAACTGCACCTTAAAATGTCTCAGGTATTTGAAGAAGGGCCAGGTCCAAGTTCTTATACCTACTGACATAAGAATTGTGGCTAAATATCTCTAACTTTCAAGGGCCCTGGCAAAACTGGTATAAATGGGTGATGATTTTCATAAGGTCAAACATTGAGTTAAGGATTAGCTAAGATTAGACTAGAAAAAGATTCTCAGGTCTGCATCCTCAAGCCAAAGTCACACTCAGTAAGCCCTGCTTGTGGGTAGGGGTCAGGGTCTTTGACTTTATTGTGAATTCATACTTTCTTTAGAAACTCCCCTTTGGATGGACTGGATGGTGTGTTACCCTCCATTACAGACACAGAGAAAGGGGATTCTGGCTGGACCCTCTCTGTGGAGGGGAGGAAGTGTGGACAATGCTAGGGAGATGACAATCTGAAGTGCTCTGCTATCTTGGGTCAAGCACAGGGTCCCGGGCATCCTTCGTCCCTGTGCAATCTCCACACAGAACTTTATTCACCAGTCCCCATACAAGAACAATCTCTAAGGCAGTCTGCAGGAAGTGGGTGTTGGGGGACGGTGAGCCAGGCTCATTCATTCAAACAGTCCTCAATTTTCACATGGTTCTATGTCTTCTGTCCCACAGCAAAGAGCAAAAGCAGCATCCAGGCATTGTTTTGTCCTTTCTTAACTGGCCAAATGCTTAGAAATAGCACTGGTCAAGCTTGATTTTCTTTCTTAAGCCTCAAAGTACTTTTAGTATCAGAAACGCTTTTCAGTGGCCAGGGACCAGTCTTGCAGGCTGTCAGAACCATGATCTGGAGGCAGCAACTTCCTCTTCCTTTCCCCTCTGCCCCTCCTCTCAGGGTCCTGCGCTGACAGCATCCCTGGATGTTTTGGAAATGCCAACTTGGGCGAGAGTACTGCATACCACCTGGCAATGCGTCTGGGCCTGCCGGGCCCTCACATACAGCCCAGGACCCAGAGAAGGGGAAAGACACAAAGGGATTTGGAAACAGGTCCTAAGAATAACCTGTCATGAAAATCACATGGACGAGAGAACAAATGAATCCAGTGGGCCCCTCTGATCCTCTGGTCTGTACTTCTTCTGGGAGAAGGTTTGCTTCGAGGAGGGCTGTCTCAAGGTGACAAGGCATGTCCCTTCCACGGCCACTCTCCCAGCTGGCAGAGGGGAGGGAACACTGGGAATCAGTCACTCTGAAAACACTTTTCTGTCTTCTGCTCCTTTGATCACAGGCAGCCATGGGCAGGGACAGGAGCTGTTAGTTGACCACATCATAGTAGTAATTGCGTAGCCGCAGTTCCACTGCTGCAAATCCAGGCCTGTTCTCCACCCTGAAAAGGGGAGAGGTGAGTTATCCTTTGCAGCCTGCCACCAGAATGCTACATGAGAGCATAGGTGGCCTACACCCCAACACACCCATTGCAGGTACAGAGGACTGGTGACAGCGTCCCCTGGTGGCTAACCCTGGGACTGTGACCTATGGAGCGATCCGGGCACCTAGCCCCTGGGCCGCCAGCAGGCTGTGGAAACAGAGGCCAGCCCACCCAGACCTAAACTTAGCCTTCATTTTAACCTGCTGGCCAAGTGATTCCTGTCCACCTTAGAGTTGGAGAAGTTTCACACCAGAACTCAATATCTTTCAAACCCACATTCAGAGGCTCTCTGTAATTCTAGCAAAACAGAAGGTGCCTGAAAATACTTAAATGTACTATATACCTATTTAATGTTTGACTCACTCTTGTTAAGAAAAAAAATACACACAGAACTTGAACTCTTCCCTACCTACACTCCAATCGATGGCTCTGGAGTATCTGAAGAAAGACCATTGATAATGGGTTCTTATTAGATCCAAACCTTTCATGCAAGAAGCAGAGACTCAGGCCTTGTCTGTAAACATCTTACACAGCAAGGCCTCCCCACCACTGTTGGCAAAGGAGGTATTGATGTCAGTAGACTAGGGGTAAAAGCTTTAACAACTGGTGATCTTTCAATAGACATTTACAGATGTCTTGTTTTCTCTAACATGGACACATTAGCTGGATCAGTTGGAAGGAAGTATTAAAACATTGAGAATATATCCTCACTTAGAAGTTATTTTTCTTATTTTGCAAGATTTGGGGATTTATCGCAAATGGATAAAATTGCCTAATAGAATGTGAGGTTGAAAAGGAATGTGAGGCTAAACTGAGGGAAACTGTCCACCTATAACCATTACAAAGTCCATGTCTAAAATAGCTGGAGAGTGACCCACAGTGACTGCGATTTCTTATAGTTCAGCCTAGATGCATAGAACATGCCTGAGAACCAAGAATCACTCATCAGTGTAAGAGCAGAGTGATTTCTACAGAACCAAAAGAGGCAGTTTTGTCAAATGTATCAAAATACATGGTTTCTCCTACAGCTTTCAAAGAGCAAGCAAAACCATGATAAAACTGCTCAAATCCACTAGCACAGTCAGCCATCTGCAGTCCCGGCTGGGGACACAGGCCTCCCAGGGCTCCACTACGGCAGGCTATGGCTCTGAGAGAGGATGTGGGGGCCAAGGGCAGGGGGCAGGAAAGAGCCTTTGAAGAAACCTGTGTCTGCCCAGAGGGTCAGCCTCTGTCTTGCTCTCGGCCATCTATGGGCAAAGAGCATGCACCTCATCATCTTTGCAAAATAGGTTCTCCTCTAACTGTGGGAATACCAAGAGCACAAGGGGTGCTTGTGACTCTTGCTTGGAGGGTTTGCCTGCCCAGCAGCCAAGCGGGTGGGGGAATCCTCTGATTTCAAACACTTGTGGGAGAAGAAGAATATAGATTTGGCACTAGGAAAGACACCTGGACAGGTCTCCTAGGACACCTCTCCTTTATGTTGGTGTAGAGGCTGCCTCCAGGAAGCCAGGGCAAAGCTGGGCTTCAGCAACAGGAGAGTGACACAGTTTCTGCCCTGCCTCTCCAGCCCGGGGACCCTTCTCCTCCTCTGCCCTCATCCCCACAGCCCAGATCTTTCCTTCTCATCCTGCAGGTCTCAGCTGAATGCCACCTCCTAACGGATGCCTGTCTGGACCCCTAGCAGAAGTATGCGCTATCCCTCTCTCCGTCATTCTCTATTCTCTTTTGAAGTCCCCAGTGTGTGTGATAATAAATATACAGATTTGGTCTTCATCCTGGGTTCCTGGCACAGAATCCTAAAACCCTGGGAATTTCCTGGGGTTGGAAGGGCAGCCACATCTGAGTCCATGCTAATGAGGTGGCTCTGGGTAGGCCCCTGGGTAGCTTTAGGATGGGGAAACCGACTTCCCAGACCTCCAGGGAGGGGAGAGGGGCTAGAAGCTGAGGTATTACCAGTGACCAGTTAATCAATCCTGCCTATGGAATGGAGCCTCCATAAAAAGCCCTACATGATGGGGCTTAGAGAGCTTCTGGGTTGGTGAACACATCCACATGACAGGAAGGCAGGGCACCCCAACATGGGGATAGACACCCTGTGCTCAGGACCCTGTGGACTGTGCCCTACGGACCTCTTCATCTGACTGTGCATTTGCATCCTTTTAAATGTCCTTTGTAATAAAGTGGGCCTCACAAGTACAGCACTTTCCTGAGCTCTGTGAGCTGTTCTAACAAAGTGTCAGGTGTGAGGTGGGGGAGCACAGGGACCCTGACAGCTCTCAGACGTGCAGGTGGCAACCTGGGGCTTGTGCCTGGCATCTGCAGGAGAGGGGCAGTCTTGTGGGACTGAGCCCTCAACCTGCAGGGAGGGTGTGTGCTGACCGGTAGTCAGGATTGAATTGAATTGGTTGCAGGACACCCGATCGTTATCCAAAAAGTTGGAGAATTTGTTGGTATGGGGTAAAAACCCACACATTTGGTGTCAGATTATGTGAGTAAAAACAGCCTAGACAGTAGTTTGCTCTAGAACATTCTATCACAACCCAGAACAATACATTCAGAGAGGGGGGCTAACGTGCTTCACCTTGGGTTAGCAACACTCCAGCCTCCAGCCAGCCCAGCCAGCCCAGCCTGGTGAGCCCTGCGGGGGGAGCGGCGGGTAGTGCTCATTTGCAGGGCTCAGGGTGTGAGGGCATCAAGAGAGGTGTGTCCAGTGATCCACTGAAAAGTGTATATGTCTGTCTGTCTTCTCTCTCTTTCCTTTGTCTCTCTCTGCCCCCTTTCCCGTCTTCTCTCTCTCTCCCTTCCCTCCATCCTTCTACCACATTGGAGAAGGTGGCTGTTTGCCATGGAGGAAAAATATAAAAAGCAAACACTCAGAGAATATACAGGGGGCATTTATAGTCCCTTCACTGAATCTGCCACAGTCTGGAAACTCTGATGTGCTTCTGTGCCCCAGGCAACAGCTGGCAAAGTCTTCAATGTGAGAGGCCCTTGAACTCCAAACATGCCTGTGACATCCCCCAGGCTCGGTGCCCTCCTCGGTCTGAATTCTCAGCAGACTCACGGCCTTCTCAGGCACCGGCAGCACGCAGCACTGACTGGCTCTTAGCTTACTGTTTCCGCCCCTGCCCTCCTCCAACGCCTGCCTTGCATCTTACAGGGCAGGCTCTGTGCTTCTGTGCAGCTCGGGGCTGGGAGGGCTGGGCAGAGGCAGACTCTGTGAATGCCCGGCTCTCAGAGGATGTGCCGCTCAGGGCAGACCTCACCAGCCATCCCAGGAAGTCACACGGTGCCTTGGTTTACTGATCATTAAACAGGACTCTGAGCCGCATCTAGACCCTCCCTGGCTCTGAGAGAGGATGTCTCGAGATTCCCTGAGGGGCGGAGGCCATTACAGACTATTCAGGATCAAAAGTTCCACTTTACTCCATTTGCAAGGGCTTTTCCCACTGGTGTCTTTAATTACCTGACTGTGACTCAACTCTGGAAAAAACAACTGGGGACTCCCTTACTGATCCCTGCTTTCCTCCCGGGCTTTCATACCACCTCCGTCCGTGACCTGCACAGGTACTACTTGGAACATGGTGTTTCTTCTCCACAAAGTGAGAGGGAAGGATGACTCGTGCACACTCAGGGTCCTGTCATCACCTGACAAGGGCCTGTGAAGCCCCCCGAGGACGACACCCACAACTGATGGGAAGGCCAGCACCTCCAGAGAGCCTTGGCGACAACCCTGGTGCTTCTGAATCATCCCTGTTAGACATGCTTCATGAAATCTTTTTTTAAATTCATTTGTACCTTATCAAACTACTTATGTCTAGACAAAGTATCTGAACACCTGTCCCACTCCCCTTTTGAGGTCACTACTAGAAAATCTTTAACCTGCAAAAGCATAGCTTTGTTGGAAGAATTTGATAAAGTGTTGTCATTTCTAACTGGGAAAGGGGCTGTTCACTATTTCAGTTGGATTGAGGCTTGTCCCCAGGAGCTGATTCCGCGAAGCCAGGTGGAAATGACATTGCCTGCCTATAACTCTCCAGGCAGGAAAACACATTGTCAAAGGGTGTCCCCTTCCAGGAAGACGACTGCCCTACTTTGCTCTGACTCCAGTGAATCACCAAGATGAGACCCTTTTGCCTCTACATCCTCTCCCTGGTGGATCCTTCTGGAAACAACAGCACAAACTCTGTGTGTGTCCCCCAAGGACATCCCTCCCTGCAGCCCTGGTCCTGATTCCCAAGTCACAAGAAGACTCAGAGGTGCTGAGGACACCCAGCAGCCCTCACAGTGTCCTGCCCAGCAGCTCTCTCCCTCGCTGGGAACGTCTCCTTGACACCTCTTCAGGACCCCAATCACCCTCCTGTGCCCACCCTTCACTCCTCTCTGTGAAACAATCAACCAACAAGTAAATATGTCAACATTAACATTAAATGCAAAACGCTGATTTTAACTCTCTCCCTGGGAGTTCGTTTTAATTATAAGTTTTTGCATTTGTTTCGGAATGATTTAACGTCCACCCACAACCCTCCTCGGGGAAGTGAAGCCTTCAAGGGAAGCTGCAGGCAGGACTAAAGAACACTTGTAGTAAATGGTCACAGGGCCCGGGTGGCCAAGGGCTGCTGTCCCCGGGGCCGGTGCTGCTCCTCTGGGGAATAGCATCAAAAACAGATGGGTTCTACGTACTGATGGTTCTGACCATTCTAGATTGGGCATGGGGAGAATTAAGTCAAGAGTCAAGGAATGGATGTCCCCCTAAAATCCATGAATAACATTCCTTCCTTGCTGACACTTTGCCATCTCTTTAGCACTACCACTCCGAGTTAGAGAAGATGCCACAGGGTCTGGGCAGGCCCCTTTGGCCCTGAAGAGGCCCTGGCCAGGTCCTTCCCAGCAGGATGGCAGCAGCAGGAGCAGGGAGATAGCTGCCTGGGGTTTGCCCTTTACCTGTGTGGCTGCCCCTGGGTTGTTTTGAGATAAAGAAGGAGAATCTCACTGCCACTCCCAGTTGTGGTAGAAAAATGCTCTGGGAGTGGCGAGGTCTCAGAAACCCAGGTGGCATCTGAAGGTCTCAGAAACCCAGGTGGCATCTGAAGCATTTATTGGGATTATCCCTTGACTTTCCAATGCTTTAGAAATGTCAGCTGTATCCGAGAGCAAACCTGATTCTGTAAACTGTTCAATCAGGATAAGAGCTCTGTTCTCACAGACCATGTTGTTTCTGAGCTGTCTGGGTTGTGTGTGCACCCTTTAGGGCCAGAGGGCCAGAGAGCCAGAGAGGAGCCTGGGCCAAGACACATTCGTAATTCTCAGCTGCAAAGCACTGTGTACATTAAAAGCATGACCAGCACCGAGGATCCAGTAGGCAAAATAAGCTATGTGATGGCAGCAGGGTAGACTCACGCCACTGCTGAAAGGACAGGGTGGCAACCCCAGCCAGTCCATCTGTGAGCTGGCCAAAGGGCATCAGGACAGTCAAACATTCCCTTACGGAGCAGACTACCATCCCTTATTGCCCCAAATGGCGTGTAGCCCTAGACTTCTCACTTTGCCTGCCCTTACCCCATCCCCCCACCCCCAGTGTAATTTGGATACTTGGATTAAAGAATGGATCTAAACTCATTCTTCAGACTCTAAAGCTTGCAAGTGCCTGGGCCTGGCAGTGAGGGCTCACAAAACGGAGCCAGTCCCTGCATTATTTGTTTAGAAGGGTACACCTTCCCCATTCTTGAAAAGACAGAGGTTATACTTCTTTTTAATGCCCAGCCATTGCACCTGTCAGCAGAGCATTTGGATAAAGTACAGGAAGTGCTGGGTACTCACTCATATGTCCAGCACAGGTTCATCAGCTCGTACATCTCTCTGGGACACCCTGCGGGGCACCCCATCCGCTCTCCTTTCTCTAACATAGCAGAGACTTCACTTCCCTTCATGCCCTGAAACACACAGGATACACAGGAGCGTGTGAATGAAAGAGTTCTCAGATGAAGCCAATGAGACAAAGTGACCCACCCCAGGGCCCAAAGGTGTGCACCTTGTACCGCTTTAATTATGTGAAACAGAAAACAGGGGCACCTAATCTCTGAGGGCAGCGTTGGACAGGTCGCCCCTGGGAAGGGCTCACTGGGGCTTCTGGGTTCTGTTCTGCTCCTTCACCTGCTTTCATGAGTGGGTTTCATTTGGGAAAACTCATTGAGCTAAATCCCGGAATGCATGCCCTTTTCATTACATATATTTTGATTAAAAGATCTAAAAACTGCAGCTGGGTTGCAAATATGACACTGCAAACAGTTGTGATTTCTGTTTCAACCCTAATGAATGCTGATTTGGGTATGCGTTTATGCGGTTCTTGGTTGTTGTGACACATGATGGGCAAAACACCTCCTGCCAGGGAGCTCGGAGAGGAGCGCGGATTTCATGATTTCCAGGTCCTGGGAAGACGATGGGGTGCTACTCTGCTCTAATGGCCGCACAGTGAGGACACAGAGGGGGAGTGGCTCACGCGGTAAGGCTTCTGCCCATAGGAAAACGCTTCCCACATTAACACTCCAAAGCTCCAGACGTCACTCTTGCTGGAGAACTTGTAGTAGTTGATGCACTCCGGGGCGTACCACTTCACCGGCCACTTCCCGTGGGTCTGGGCCTGAAGGCAAAGCAGATGGAGACGTTCCTTTAAGAATAAGTGTGTATACCCATGTGCTCGGTGCCATGATTCCCTGTAGCCACAAAATGACAAATCCTGTGTAAATCCATTTATATGAAGGACCGAAAATAGTCAAATTCATGAGACAGAAAGTGCAGCTGTGGCTTCCAGGGGCTGGGGAGAGGGTGGAATGGGGAGTTAGTGTTTACTGGGTATGGAGTTTCAGTTTTGCAAGATGAAAAGACTCTGAACATTAGTTGCAGAATAATGTATATGAGCTTAGTATTACTGAACTATACACGTAAAATGTGATTAAGATGATAAATTTTATGTTATGTGTTATTTTATCACAAGCTTAACAAGGAATAAGAGCATGACCCATGTGGTGTGTTGCCTGAATTTAAAAAGCAATACTAAATCTTTTTCTTTAATTGTTGGAGATTCATTGAGGGTACAAAGAACCAGGTTGCATTGATTGCCTTTGTTAGGTAAAGTCCCTCTCATAAAAAATAATACTGAATCTTAAAATCGTAAACACTCTTTTAAAGATTTCTATACCTGGCTTGGCGCCCGTAGCTCAGTGAGTAGGGTGCCAGCCACATACACGGAGGCTGACAGGTTCGAGCCAGCCCTGCCTGCTAAACAACACTGACAACTGTAACCAAAAACTAGCCGGGCTTTGTGGCGGGCACCTGTAGTCCGAGCTACTCGGGAGGCTGAGGCAACAGAGTCGCTTAAGCCCACAAGTTTGAGGTTGCTGTGTGCTGTGATGCCACGACACTCTACTGAGGGCGACATAGTGAGCCTCTGTCTCCAAAAAAAAAAAAGTAAACAAACAAACAAAAAGATTTCTATACCTATTTTTGAGATTCAGATCTAATGCTGGCGTCATTTAGTCTTTTCCTGCCACCTCTTTCTTTGGCCACACACCCCTTCATGGGGCACATATGAAGAGCCCAGCCTGGAGGCTCCTTCACAGCTATGGTCAATACCAGGCTGTCCATAGTATATTTAACTAGTCCTGCTTACTCATCCACAGTCTTCAGCCAAGAATATTTTGACATAAGTTATTGGTGTCATTTACAAAATGATTTAAACTTTCTAATTCCCTAATTAAAAAGAAAAAGCTATTGTTAGCAAAGGATCAAAACGGGACATAACAAACCCTTCCACTCAGGTTAGCCATTCGGGCACACGGGGCACAGGGTGAGTCTTGTCACCTCCTGTTGATCTCACCCTTCCACCTGGGAGAAGTCCTTGTGGGGGAATGGGGCAGGGGTCTCAGTGAAAACTGACTTTATGGCACTATAGTGGGACGTGATGAGAAATTCGGGACATCAGTCTGGAGGTTGTACGGTGCCCTGACACTTCTCTAAATGACACAAGTGGTTACACCTCTGTCTCCATCGTGTGCATTTTTTTGATATTTCGATTTCAGAAGCTGTAACTATAGATTCATGTGTGTTATTTCAACGTTCCTCTGAAGTTTACACTGACAAAGAGGCAAACCTTTGACAAACACTATGCTGAAAAGTTAGTCCCTCTCCACCAGTAACTCCAGCTCCTCCTCCAAGAGGCACCCCCCCCCCCAGCTTTCCTGCACCCTTCCAGAACACCCTGGATACACACGTAAATAGGAAATAGATATCTGGGGGTGGGGGGAATAAAACCAGGGGCTGTTGTGCTTTCCTTTTCTATTTCTCTACTTAGGCATGTGCTATAGACACATTTCTAGGTCAACACGTGCACATAAAGAAGTCACTTTTGAAGGATTGGCACTGGGCACTCACACACATCTGCTCGACTGGCTGACCCAGGCCCCCGCTGAGAGGCCATCAGCAGCCTCCAGGGTTTGCTATGACAGACCACTCGGGAATGCACACCACCGAGTGTGTGTGTCTGCACTGCCAGGAGCTGCAGATCCCAGGGCACTCATGCGGCTCATGCTCCTGCGCAGACCCACACACAGCCCTCCAGGGGCCGGAGCTCATTCGCTTTGGTGGCCTCCATTTCTCTTTGATCTTGTCTCACTTTTTATTTTTTTCCGTTTCACTTTGCTTTGTTTTCATGAGGAAATCAACCAGGTGCCTGTCTTTTCAGTAGTCTTAGTCTCTTCTCGCGGCTTCTAACATGGTTTTATTGATGGAGTGGCCTTTCCCCCTTTTTTTATTTTCAGAGATGTTCTGGCTCACTTTTCACTCATATGCCCTTTAGTATCTGTGCCAGTTTTAAAACTGGCCTCAAGTTCTTTGACACTCCTCCTCTAACGAGGCGGAGTGTCTAGCCCCCCACCTTTGAATCTGGGTGGGCTGTGGCTGCTCTGACCAGCAAAATAAGGTGTAAGTGACCCTGAGATCGTTTCTGCACCCAGGCCTTGTGAGCCTAGAGGCCTCACTTCCTGCTTCTTGGGTAACTGGCTCTGGAGACCCAGGTACCACGCCTTGAGGAAGCCCAGGGGCCACTGGGCAGGTGTGCCACCAATAGCCAGCAAAGATCCCAGACCGTAGCAAGCATCCAGTCGGTCCCTTCTGTGTGAGCAGAGTGGGAACGATCCTGCTGCCCACCCCCAGGGCCACCTCACTGCATGACCGGAGATGCACCATCCCCACGCCCCCGCCTGAGCCGCAGGACTCCAAGTAAACAAGTGCGTGGTGGCCTCCTAACGGGAACTGTTACACAGCAGTGACATTCATGTTGCCCTCTTCCTTCCCCTCTCTGCATCCTTGTTTCAGTCTTATCTCCGAGATGACCTCCACACAGTGCATCCAGTCACACCGACCCCCTTCCCCAGCATGTCCTCATGCTGCTCCTCTAGGCCACAATTCCCTGCAGTCCCCACATCTCACTCACTCGCCCCTAAGGGGCTTCTTCCTGCTCTGCGGGCCCCCTGGAGCTCTGCCAGATGAAGGGGACACAGGTATCATCCCTTTGGGGGCATTTCCAGCTACTGCTGGGTGTGGAACCCAAGCCCCATCCTGCCACCCACTGGTTAGACGTTCGGGGTCTGTCATCGTTTCTGAGCACTCTGAACATGGCTAGAGACCTGCAGGGTTGTCCTTGCTACCCTCTTCAGTCCAGGAGCCCCAACCCCAACATTTTCCAGTTGGGGGACCCTATGTGTACCCTGTGGTTGAGTGGATATGACAATGAGGCTTTCTTGTCTCTTGTCCCTTCTTTTAGTTGTTATCAGGGCATCTGAAGTGTCAGAGAAGGGTAAAGTCACATCAGCAAGTGAGGTGCTCATCCTGAAATTATTTTTCAGGAGATCTAAACCCGTACCCAGGACTGATTTCCATTTTATGTTTTGTTGAAAGTTCATTCTTAATTCCTAAGAGCTTCTGCCCTAACAAATTATGGGGTATATTTCTTTTCTGATCCCATTTATGTAATCACCCTGATCTTTGCTTTCCAAAACTGACTTTGTTGAAACTTCACTTCTCCCGGAGTGAGCCAACAGAACAATTTCCACAAATGTATCAGAGATATACCGTGCCCTGATGGTGTAGCTGGAAGAAGGTGAAGAATTTATTTGACAGTTCTCATCTTCATTTTCTAACTAGATAGGTGTTGTCAAAAGATTATTGTGTAATAGAATATTCCAGACTATATGTTGTGTATGTGTTCCACAAGATGCTGTTGGATGTTTGTTTTGTTGGAAAAGGACTGTCTGGATGAACCGGGTTTGACAGGTTAGTGGAGGAAACCTCTGCTGAGATTCACAATGCTGAATAGCAGGCAGGGGCTCAGGGAAGTCCTGCCAGAATCACCCTTCCAATCCCTTGCTTCCAAAGTAATTTAACAAAAGCATCCCGTTCTTCTTTTCTCAAAATGAAATATCAATTAATACTTCCACTTCCAGGAAACCTAATAATCACATGTGTATGTAAAAATAAAAAAATATTTCTAATAAAAAATACTTCCACTGGGCAGTACCTGTGGCTCAAAGGAGTAAGGTGCTAGCCCCATATACCAGAGGTGGTGGGTTCAAACCCAGCCCCAGCCAAAAACTACAAAAACAAAAACAAAAACAGAAAAACCTTCCACTTCCTATTGTTCCATGAAACATAACTGGGAGGAAATGGTTTTGAGTAAATCTCAAGGTGTGCTATATTAGGGTATTTATAATTTTTAAATAATAGAATCAAGGCTTAATCAGAACATAGTTTAGATAGTTATTCTTGATTAGTAAAATTGCTTCTTGAATCCCTACCATAATAAAATAAAGAAGACCTGACTTTCACATTTCCCGTGAGCTGAGCCGTGCCTACCTTGTAGTAGTTTTCGTCAGCACGAAGAGCTTTGGAAAGTCCAAAATCACTGATCTTGGCATAATGTTGAGTGACCAGCAACACATTCCTGGCAGCCAGGTCTCTGTGCACAAAGTTGCTGTCTTCCAGATACTTCATGCCCATGGAAACCTGGTGAACCAGCTCGATGATGTTCTTATCCTTGACTTGCCTGGAAGTCAGAACAGTGTTATCAACTGCAGCAGGTGGCACTCCATGTTCCCCATACACACAGAAGCTGAGCCCATGCACTCCACATTCTTAAATGACAGGAATCACCCATGGCGACAAATAACCTTGTTAGCATACAGCCACTTACGACCGACACCGTTCAGTGTTCAACAAGACTGATTTTCCCAGTGTGCTTTGAGCTGCACTAGAAGCTAGAGGACAGAGTGCTCAGCCCTGGCTCAGCCCTGGCTCAGCCCTGGCTCACAGATAGCCAAGCACCAGCTCAAATCCTTGTCCCAGTTAGTATCAGGCAGGTCACAAAACCAACCCTGAGTTTCTATTTCTTACTTGGAAAGTAGAGTAGCAACATCTCCCTGCTAGAGACACAATTGGTGGTTATTACTCTGTCTTATTCCAAATAAGCTCTCGGTCTCAGCAAAAGCTTTAGATACACACAGTATGATCTCTGTGGATGATGGATGGAGTCAGTTGACAGCAACTGATATTTTAAAATTTTTAATATTTACTTATTTTTGAGATAGGGTCTCACTCTATCATTCTGGGTAGAGTGGGTGGCGTCAGCCTAGCTCACAGCAACCTCAAACTCTCGGGCTCAAGTGATTCTCCTGCCTCAGTCTCCTGAATAGCTGGAACTACCACTAAGCTTGAGTATTTTTTCTATTTTTAGTAAAGATGGAATCTGGCTCTTGCTCAGGCTGGTGTCAAACTCCTGCACTCAAGCAGTCCACCTGCTTTGGCCTCTCAGAGGGCTAGGATTATAGACCTGAGCCACTGTGCCTGGCTTAGTAACTGTTATTTTTAGAAGTCACAGGAACTTAGACATCAGCCAGACGTATGTAAGACATAGTGCTATCCCTTGGAAAATGTTTCTTTTAAATGTTTGTTTAAAGAATGTTCTTCCTGGTGAGGGGAGATTTCTTGTCAAGACATTCTGAGGCTGATTCACTGTGCCAATACAGAGGGAGGAAAGGAAGAAAGACAAAATCCTCAAACAGAGTTTTTCTCTAAGCAACAAGAGATAAAAGAGCTGGGTCCAAACACTACGCCTCCCTTTGTCCCTCTCTCAAGGTCCACCACTTCTGTGCCTTCGGGAGCACCTCCCGGTACCTGTTCTGCTGCAGATACTTGTTGAGGGGACCCAGCTCCGCCATCTCCATGACCAGCATCCAGGACTCGGCCTCGCAGATCCCGATCATGCGCACGATGTACGGGTTGTCCAGCTGCTGCATGACGTTGGCCTCCGCCAAGAGCTCGTCTTTGAGAGCTGGGTCGTTGGCCTCATTCTTCAGTATTTTCACAGCCACTGTTTTCACAACCCTGCAAAAGAAATCACGACACATGAACACTTTCCCCCATGGGTTACTTCTAGATAATCATCTGTGACATACAATCCCTGTGCAGAAACAGTCTCCTGGACACATGTGTGGCAGAATGGAAATGTGTCTTGAGAAGCCTGCGATGGGCGACTCCCCTTCCACCCGAATCCTCTCGTTTTATAGACATAGAGAGCGAGTCCCCATCACTTCAAGGGAATGATGGGGAAGGTACTGAAGGATGCCTTGACCAAGCAAAATCCCTGACTGTGCAACAGTCAAGGAATTTTCAAATAAACCTTACCAACTACAGTATATTAATACCAAGATTCCTGTGACATCTTGTGATGTCCCATCTCAGAGTATGCATAACAAATGTGAATTTTAATTTCTTTAATATAAGTTGAAAGTGAATTTCTGAGTATAGAATTTAAGAGTGTACATTTAAATTTAATACACTTAAAAAGCATATATTTAAATACATTTGAAAGCTAAACAACTGTGCTGGGAGAAACCTGAAAATGTTGAATAAAACCTAAGTTAAGTGGAAGGGGTGCCGTGCTTGTTGGTTGGAAGACACTATATTGTAAAGACATCTTTTTGCCCCAAATTGACCCCGAAAGCCTCTCCTGTCCCCAAGCACTCTAGTGGAAAATATATATCCACAGTCACGTCTATGTTAATTTACATTTTTAACCAAAGAATTAAATATCACAGCCTTTTGCAAAGCAAGTAAATCGAAGCCTTAATACAGGAAAATCTATATTCATTTTATAAAATAACTGTGAAGTATGTACATATATTTTAAAATAAGCATCAGGGCCCATTGGATTGTGTGTGTGTGTGTACGTGTGTGTACGTGTGTGTACATGTGTGTATATCTGTGCTCACACACACATGCACAGGCCCAAGGGGGAGGGTAGCCTAGCAAGCAAGAGTCTCTGTGCATGTATATACTTTTGTTTATGCTTTTGACCTTTTAATCACATAAATTACCTACCCATGAAAAAGATTCTTACCAAATCCTTTAAATTTAAAATAGCATGAAACAACTACACCTAACCACATTTGTCCTAGTATCATACCAGCCTGAGAGCGGGTCTGTTTCAAAAGGATCTTGGTATTCTTACTACACATTCCATGTGTGATGCCTTCCAAAGACCAAATGAAATGCAAAAACATTTTAGACATTCAGCAATTGTAACTGCTATATATACTATGCATTGTTATATTTGAAATCATAAAATAAAGCTAGTGAATAATTACACTACTGGTATTTGGAATCAAGAATTTTCTGAGTAAGAAGAATGAGACACAATTGTAAAAACCAAAGGCAATATGTGAAAACACTACCGTTATCATTGAATGATTTCATGAATTAAATAATCCATATACGTATGTGCATACAACGATCTAAAAGACACACACACAATAACCAGTTAATAGTCCTAGCATTTGGGTGATACAAATGTGATGTCTTTTCTTCCCGGGTTTCGGCTTGTTTCTGTTCACTAGTTTTCTACAAGGTATACGTGTTACCTCTAAACTAACATAAGCTATTCTATCCGTACTTGATACACATAACAGTCGCTTTTGTTATAATCGTACCAGAAGTTGACAAAACCTATAATGTTGATGACAAAGGGCTTAGCCCTGCCAGGCCACGTTCTGTGTTTGGGAACAGGTGAGTGCCACAGGCATGCTCTCAGGAGTTGGTGGGGCATGAGCCGCCTGGGGCAAGTCTGGCAGAGACTTACTTCTTCATCTGGTAGTAGCCCTTCTTCACAGTGCCGAAGTTACCAGAGCCCAGCTCTTTGTCTTCCAGCGTCAGCAGCTTCCGGTCCAGGTAGACCTCCTTGGGCCTGATCTCCTCGGGGTCGGCGTAGGGGCTCTCGTACACCTCCGTGTCCATGGGCAGGGCTTCCCTCTGAGGGCCTGCAAAGCAGTCAGGAGACATACAGCCCAGGGCAGGAGCCCTCGGGGGGATTCACCCTTCCAAGGATGTGACGGGCATGTAAACGTGAACTCAGATTAGCACCCATGTCACGGAAGAGGAGAAATTCTGAGGAGGTGCCACGGACATTTTCAATGCTGCTAATTTATTATGAAGGAGATGGACAAAGACCATTTCGTTCAGCAGCCCTGCCACTGCTCTTGGGCATCTGATGCCTGCCACCTGCCACTAGCTAGACATTAGCATCACCATGGCTGATCCTCTGGCAGGGGGATGAATTTGTGAGCCAGGCCTACAAACTTACAAGTGATCACACGCTTTGCTCTGTCAATGTCCAGTGAATAAAAGTGAACCTCTCACCTCTGTCTGCAGTCCAGGGTGCTACTTCTGGCTCATAAGGATTGAATGACACAGTACTGTCTGGCCGGCTCCCCTGGGCAGGAGAGGCCTAAAGCACACAAAGACAACAGGTCATTTGTCTCCATCAGTACACTGGAAAGGTGATCTGTGTAATTATTTCCATTTCCAAATAATCACATTTTAACTTATGCAGGGAAGACAGAGGAAAGAATTAAGAAAGACAAGGAGGAAAACAGTTTATCTCTTTCTTCGGGCCATTATTTGGATTCTGCAAGGTCTAAATAAAGCTCATGCTACTACAATTCCAGAGGTACCGTCAGCCCCTTGGGGGGTCTGGTGAGAGAGTTAATTCTAGTTTTCCAGGTAAGATTCCCACCCTACACACACATCCTTTCATATCCTTCTGAAAGATACTGAGGATGTTCGTGTTCCCCTTGGATTCATTTTCCTCCTTTAAGCTCTTGCTCTTCAATTTCATGTTACATGGAGGTTATTTAAAGAGGAAAACGATAACACCCACCCACTGCTCCCACTTGCTCCCTAACTCCAACATGGGTATGCCTTCCTAGGCGCCATCAGCATCTTTATCTGCAGTGGAGATCTAGCAACATTTGGGTGGATGTCAGAGGGTGGTCAGTGAGCCACATGGCCCCACAGACCAGTTGCCACCCACCCAGGCCACAGCACCGCTGCTGCTAATAGTGATAATCATGGACCCCATGCCATGTGGAATCCTCTTTGCTGATGGGAGGGAAGGAATTCTTCCTCAGACCCACAGCAGGAAATGGAAGCATGCCTGAAACCAAGCCTTGCTGGCTGTTACTAATGCAGCCTTCCTGGTTATTTGAGGAACATCAATTGGCACCAGGAAATAATCAGGGGGAAAAAACATCCACATCTTTTATTCCTAAGGACTTTGCCTTTGGAAACTCTTTATCTTGAGTTTTCCTGACCCATTTTAACTCCCCAATTAAAACCAGATTATCGCTAAGTTTAGTTCACAGTAAAACCATAATTTGAACCCTTCTGTTTGGATGTGAATTGAGTAGCAAGTTCATATGTCCACGTCCCTTCTCAGTGCCCAAACACTGGCCACGAAGAAATGAGATGCTGCCAGATTTTATAGAAGTTTAAAGGAACAGAGACATGAAGCTTAACATGGCACAGTCACTTATCTCACAGCACACACTAACTCCTTGCCTGCTCTATTGGTATGAGAAGCCCCAAAGCCAAGTCAGATAATGAAGTCACAACGTGCCACTCCCACCCCTAGCCATTAATGCCCTGCCCCCTGGACTCCCTCCTTTCATGCTGTCTGTGTTTGTCAGAGGAAGGCCCCCACACAGGGGCCCCACCCTTTGGATGAGACTAACTAATGACTGCCCTGATTTGTCACAGGGGTACAGAAGCATCCATCTCTTACAGACTATCTCAGCACTCCTCCTGACCTACTTAACGGAAATAACTATGATCCAGGAAGAATGAAGTTGGAATATAAGTTTTGGGGGATGCAGGCATTCACTGCTGCCCTGGAAGCTGTGCCATGCCCATGGCGGGTGCTCAGTCAAAATGTGTTGAATGAATGAATGCAAAAATGAATGAATGAAGAACATTTCTTAAGCCTGAAGTATAAAACTAATATGATTGAAAATTAAGCTCTCTCTCAAGTCTTCATATTAATGGAGAGAAATAAGCATGGATAATTCCCAGTGACAATCTTTTTTAAACATTGACATATGATTATAGGACTACAGGATGTGTGCTGTGATTTCACTTCTGTTCTCCAGGGCAGGAAGACTTTAAAAAGGCTTGTTGCAATTAAACCAGAATGCAATTATGTAATTACCTAACATATGATTCCGGTGGGGAAGTGGGGTCATAAAAATATGTTGAAAATGACAGTAGGGTATCAAGAGAAAGTAAGGATTAGTAGGGATGAACATGGGGACTCTAATCTGCTAGACTTGAAAAATTTGTTGCCTACTCTATCTTAGCGTATGGATGAGGAAACGGAATGGGGATATCCCTCGGAAGTTTGGGCTCCATACTTTCAGCCAAGGCAGCTCAGGGCTTCATTTCCACGCTGCCCTACACAGACCGCCTTATGATTATGAAAGAACTGGCCTGCCCTTCACTGCACCGCGCCAGCTCCCTCCTAGCCGAGCCCCTGGCTACCTGCCCCTACTCCTTTCTGTAACTGATGGGATTGGAACAAAGGATGGCACCATGCTTGGAAGACTATTCTCTGTAGAGGTTAGTCAGAGAATAGGGAGGCTTCCTACTGATTCAGTTAAAAAAACAGTGGTTACTTTATGATAATGATGAAGAAATAAAATGCACATTTCACTTTCCCCAAAGCACTGCATGAATATGCCATTTAGTAGAACAACAACAAAAACAACCTCTGGGCGTGAATGCTCGGTTGAAAAGAAGAATTTAAGAACTTCGTGAAGAATGAGCACAAAGGCATAATGACAAATTGTAAAAGTATAGATTATTAAAAATGTAATGCAATGTTAATTTTAACGAAAAATGTGCCTCTGGCCCACATTATTATTGTTTGTCATCGTTCTTTCTGTTTGCATTTGATGGTCTGTGCAGTCCCAGTCAGTAGTGTCATGTTTTCTGCATAATAAACTAGGTGCAAATGAATTGTCCACGGTTCCTTTTTGGCCTCATTTTGCCAATACTCAACACAGAATTCAAACCTGCGGGACACCACTAGATGGCACTTTGTACCTTTGCTTTCAACTTTCCAAAAGAGCAACTGGTAATTTTTTCTTCACGTTTTATAAACTCAGGTAATAACAGATCACTCCACAATAATAACAATAATTTATTCAGTTATACGCTATGCTCCCTTACTTCTTGCTCACTTAAATGCAAATAGAAAACGTATCTGACAAATACTCTTTGAGTCCCTTGGTTTAAAAACTGGGGATTCAGAAGTGAGCAAGAGAGAAAAAAATGATCACTCTGTTGAACTGACAGAGTAAGTTTTAAAATACTCCGATTATTAATGTATACATGGGAATAAAACATGAAAAATGGATTTCAATTGGAAAGGCTGGGACACATATCATTTTAATCCTCTTAGAGAATGTGCCTTTGAAGTGTGAAGCTAAAAAGCTATAAGTTTTCAGGGATGTTATTGTCCAAACTCTGCCTATTTCCTTAAGAGAAGGACAGGGTTATGGACTCAAAGCAGCAAAGAAGAAAATTCCAAGGCTAACACTAAGTTTCAATCACTGAAGGACTGCCAGTACTTGTATTCCTTAGGTGAATTCCTTTATATTTTACAGTATAAACATGCTACTGATTTCTTTTTTCTTTTTTTTGAGGCAGAGTCTCACTATGTCACACTGGGTAGAGTACTGTGGCATCACAGCTCACAGCAACCTCCAGCTCTTGGGCTTAAGCAATTCTCTTGCCTCAGCCTCCCAAGTAGCTGGGACTATAGGCACCCGTCAAATCACCCGGCTATTTTTTTGTTGTAGTTGTCATTGTTGTTTAGCTGGCCCGAGCCAGGTTCAAACCCACCAGCCTGGGTGTATATGGCTGGCACCCTACTCCCTGAGCTACAGGTGCTGCCCATGTTACTGATTTCTGAGGAAAAGTTTAAAATGCAGCTGCTCTTAATAAATTTCTCTCAAAGTTGCAATTTTACTGTAACTGGTTTTATTTCTATTGCTATACATTTAAACTATTAGCCAGACTTTGTCAATTGTACAGTGCTAGAATAATGACCTTCATATGTACATGACTGCATATAAATGCAAGAACATCTGTATGATACATAGAAATAAAATGGCAGAGTTGAGTTATATGTACTTTTAATTTTGCAAAATCACCTATCTTATAGAACGTGTCATTTTACACTTCTCCAATAAAGTGTGAAAGTGCTCACCCCTCACATCCTTGCTATTACACGGTGTGTTACCAATCTTTTTTTATTTGAATCTATTTTATAGGTGGCATTGTTGGACATCATCGTACTAACTTGCATTTCTTTTATTATGACGTTGAACGACATTCACATGTTTAAGAACTATTTATATTTGCTTTACTTTATTCTATCTACCGATGTTCTCTGCCCATTATCCCATGAGATCGTTGATTTTTTACTGATTTAAAGAATCTCTCTCCATTAAAGCCATTCACCTTATACACGTGTTACCATTACTGATACTTTATTTCCAGTTTCTTATTTCTCTTTTGATGATGTTACAGTTCTTATCCGTGCACATATTTCTTTATTTTTATATGGTCGTATTTACCGTATCTTCAGTTATTTTGAGACATGTTCTCCTGTCCTCTAAAGATCTACTAAAACATTTTCTCTATCTCAAATGCTGAGTGAAACTTACTTCTCTGTTTTAAGGTCAACAGATTAAGAACCTCTTGAGTATGACTGTCAGCTTGGAAAATTATTATCAAGTAAAACTCTGGGCTTTCATGCTTTGTACTTATGTCGTTTCAAGTAAGTACTTTAGGCAATCTACTTCATGAACTGGTGCCCAATTATATGCTAAAATGTTTGGAAAAGCACCAGTTAATATAAAAACTAAAAATATTAATAAAAGACTCAACTTTACCCCAACAATGATATAAATAATAAAAAAAAGAAATCCATACATTTTATACATACATTCTGGGGGCAGGGGTGCATGAAATAAGTCATTAAAAAATGACTTATTTCTATTTTCCTTGAAAAGTCAATTATAGAGCAAACTACAGAAATCTGATGTCAACATTATTGCCTCAAAAAAAGAACAATAGCTTTAGTTTTGATGTCCTCTCTACATGTTACATTTAGGGTGCTGTGTCAGCCACAGCCCTAATGAAGTGACTGTGCACGTGACACCCTCAGGTCCTCACCGGGCAGCAGACCTCACGGAACCTTGGTGTCCCCTCCATCACAAGGTCATTTACATAGTCAATTACCAGAACACTGCAACAGATGATTCTGGCCACCAAAACTAAGTTGGCTATCTGTGGAAAGATTTTGCAACCTGAGAATTAGCTACCACTGACTACACTGACTTAAAGCTAACTGGAGTGGAGAAAGCACATCACAATCGATGGATTTCCAGCAAGTGGACTGAGGACCCACATGAAAAGCACAGTGTGCACGTGGGGCGTGGGCTGCCCGGGGATGAAGGTGTGGACGAGGCTACACACAGCACAGAGGCAGGGAAGCGGGGTGGTGGGAGGGGGCGGGACGGGCACACACAGGGCAGGCGGGAGGGCGTGAGCTGAGTGCGGGTCAGTCCTACCACTTAGTCAGGGACAGCAAGCAGGGACGCTTTAGCACCTTTCTGTGGCCAGGCTTTGGGAAGGAGTATGATTTGATTCTTGAGATTATTCCACCCGCTGACCAAGTCTAGAAACCACAATGGCAAAGAGAACAGTAAACGTTTCAGAAAACAAACACAGGATACCTTTCACCACACGCTATGTTAACTTGCTTCGTAAGGGCACTGCTAACCCCCTCCTGGCCCTCCTAGTGAGATCTACGGCAGGCAACACTTGATCATTGGGAAGGCTTCCAGAAAAGCCTACCTACCACATGGGCAGAAGGATCTAGAAAAATATTTGGGAAATATTTTCCCAAAAATAGAACTATTACATTTAGTAGCCTGTGCTTTATACGGAATTATTAAGTCACAAGCTCAAGATAAATCGCCCTAAAGAAACTACAAGTAAATCTGAGTGCTCAGCTGTGTTATTTTAGGGTAGGTGCAGGTTCTATGGTGAAAAATTCATCCAGTTCTACACTGAGGGCCTTGCATTTTTTTTTTTTTGCATGTATTTTACTAGTCAATAAAAAGTTACTCCAAAATATCTAAATTCCTAAATTGTGTCATGAATGGCTAAATATAGGGCTTAATATTCTTTTAAGAGTTCTCAGCCCTAAGCCCTCATTCACCTACTGGAAAATGGAGCAACTAACATTCAAGTAAGGTTGCCATGACCCATGTAAAGGGTAAAACAAAGTGATGACTCCATAAAGGTGCTACATTTTAACACTGATCCCAGAGTTCACTGGCATTTTAAGCAAATCCATATTCCCCTGCTACATTTTTCTTTCTTTCTTTCTTTCTTTCTTTCTTTTTTTTTTTTTTTTTTTT